ACTATGTTCTCTTTGCATAAATCCTGGCCAACACATAAGTAACAATATCACTTCTGTTTTGCCACATACTTCCCCCCTTTATATTATGGATTATAATGCAAGATAAATTCTCAAACACAAACCATGCTGGAATTTGGATACTTAATTAAAAATTTCTGTATGACTTAAAAATGGTGGCTTCTGCCTATTCTTTCCTGGTGATAAAAATAACTTTACTGTACTAAGAAAAGCATACACTTTTGATATAAGTGGTATTGGTTTGAGAAAAAAGAATTTAAGTGAGAAGTAAATTCCTACCTGAGCAATATTAGTTGATTAAAAGAAAAAGGCAACAAATTAGTTAAATAATGTCAATTATTAATAAGTAAACGTACATATTAATATATTCTCTATAACTCTCTCAAATAAAATTGGATATTTAACAAATATTTTCAAGAATAACTAATAGTCATAACTAGACAAAGGAAAAGCAACACTGTCATTCCCAGGAGGTATTGTTCATGGTTTGGAAATAAGAATAAAAAGCAAACCTTTACTGGGTATATGTTCAGAGACATATACTTCTAAACATTTAGCTTAAGGGTATTTTTTTAATCAATAACTAAAATGTATATATTTTCTAATATAATGTAAGCAATATTAAATTTCTTTGTTTTAAAGGTACTTTTCTTTTTGTGATTTTCTTCATATTCCAAAGAAATACATGCTTGCAATCTAAGATTTACTGTGTATCCAAGCATAGGTGTTCTACATATTAGAAATCAAGTTGAATTTTAGATGGTCAAGCAATATTATTTTACACAAATTATAGAATAGATTCAATCAGATTGTAAGACTAAAAGGAGGAAAAATCAGTCCATGAGCATAGTGGATGTTCTGAATAATCACTATTGATGACATTACATTCCTGCCGATAACACAATTATTAATCATTTAAATCATCTCAGCAATCACTGATATCGAGAAAAACACTAAAAGTATTCTAATAAGCATTGAAATGAAAAAAGACACTAAGTAAATTTAAACATAACTACTCAATCTGGATTTACTGTGGCTTGCCTTATTTTTGAAAAACAGTAATAAAATGAATCTGAATCCTAAAATCTAAACAAAGAGTCTAGAAATGGGATCCATTTATAGTTTTCAATTGAATTTCTGTGATTATTTTCTATTAATACAACAGTGGGTTGAATAAATGTCTTTATGTTATTAACTATGTATTGTAAGAAATTAAAATACAAAATAACGAGTTTAACAACATGTAAAGAAGTGACTAGCAATATTTTTTTCTCTTCATACCACTTTGATATGAAGTAGTTCACAATGTAAAAATGCTTGGAATATTTTGAGACAAAAAAAAAAGAATGCATGGAAAGGAAGGCACTCCACACATATGAAACATTGGATTGAGTGAATGAGTTGACCCTGGGAACTTCTGAGTATATTCCTTAGTCCCCAAAGTTCAAAAATAACTGAATTTAAAAGTATCCTTGTTTGATGAGATTGTTTGAAATTCATGCAACTAGAAAAACATTTGATTAATAGTGTTCTTCATTGGAAATTGCTAATTACTAGGCACAAATAGGAAAATGTAAATTAATTTAGTGATACAGCTTTCCCATTATTTTGTTAGCTGAACTCTACTGTTTTTAAATTTGAAGTCTTGATGTGGGGAAAAAAGAAAGGAGTAAGGTCCTTTTGAATCACTGAATCCTTCTGAGGATTTGGTAAATCTTAATGGTAAAGAACTATTGTGAGGTGATAAGATAGGATAGTAAGGGGTTTAGAAAACAATGAAAGATAATGCACAAAAAGGGCAAACTGTTTAAGGTATAATTTTCAGCTTGCCTTATTGTTTTTCTTTTTTCATCTTTATATATGAGGGACCTCTTCTAGTTAGCATACTATTAATCAAGTGATAACAAATAAGTTCCCATGAGCAGTATTATTTTGACATGTTTCAGTGGGAAAGACCAAACTCCCATTGTTAACTTTGTGGGTGCCAAACAAATGCAATCCCTCCAAGATAACCAGAGATGCTATTTAGAAGGTCCTGGTGTCTTACCAATAGTAAGAAATCAGAAAACAAAAAAACAAATAATAATAATAAAATAAATAATAATAAATAAAACAAATAATAATAACAATAAAAGTCATTCCTAACAAAATAAGATAAAAAGTCTGAAAGCAGAAAATCAGTCACCAACACTGCTTCCTAATTTTCTTGCAAACGGTTTCAGCTTCCTGAATATTCACTCGTGAAAATATGTGTTTTTTTGACAATGGATTTTTAGTCTACCTTAGTAGACCCAATGTTCCAATGTTTTCTCTTTGAGAAAAATAAGTTCAGTATCTTCCTCTTTCCAGAATGATAAAACATCTCCAAGTTTTACCTCAAAATTTGCTGCTGTCTACTAAACAATGCAAAATAAAGAACCCATTAGAAACTATAGCATGTTAAAGTTTTATGGAAAGTTTATTTTAACTGGTCACTCATTTAAAGAAGTCTATTTTTTTGAGAAGTACTTGAACCTTCATTCATTCCATTTGGACTTATTCTAGCCATAAAGGACATGATTAGGCACCCTACTTCGATAAAACAAGGATATTGCCATGCCTTTCTTTTATAATAATGTTGTCTTTTCTGCTAGTTTTGTTAAGCTAGGACATTTGAAATTTCTAACAGCAAGTTTCTCACAATTAGGCAAATGCTCTGGCATGCCTGTAACTTTGGCACAGTCAATAATCACTAGGGGATAAGGAAGCATGCTATTCATTGCTTAATCCTTAGTGGCCCTTTCAAATCAGGCTGTACAACACAACCCTCTGAGGAAACAACTGAAAATTATGGTAATCCTTTTAACCCATTGTTTATAAAAGGGCGTTTTATGATCACTTTTTATTTTAGTTTCATTTTCTCTAATTTTGTTAGCGAGAAAGTACATATGAAAATAGTATGTGTCCTAAAAATTCAACAGCAAAATTGTATCTTTGAGTTTGACAAAACACTGATAAGAATGTGTAAGTGCACAAACGAGATAATGACAGGAGCACAAGAACTCAAAGTATATGAACACAAATTTTTAAATGCAAGTGCTTATTGTAATAAGCAAAAAAGGGCCAAAATGAACCAAACTGGAACACAAAATGCACAAATATAACTCTAAGACTAAGTAATGCTATTATGTGGTATCAGATCATCTGTTATTTAATATTGTTCAATTACTTTTTAAAAAAAAATACCTCAAATTAAGAATACATATTTTTATATATCATGTTTAGAAAACAGATATTTGTGCATGGATACAGATCACTTACATTTTAAAGAGAATACATATAGTTTGTTTTATTAAATACCAACATTACATGTCCCCTAGCCTAACTTGTATACTCAGTAATCAGTTCTTTCTGAACTAAGGAAAGTAAAATGCTCAGCAACCAGTACACCTAGCAACACAAGTACACATTTCTATTAACTAAACAAGACTGATGGCCTCCAGCTTACATTCATAAATTATTTCTGTCAGTATTAGTAGATAATGGTATTTTCCAGGACAACATAAAATGATATTTTAAAATTTCAGCATTTAAAGAAAATAATACCTATTATACAGTGGTTCTGTACCATAAATTTACTAAAAACCAATTTGGTTGGTTTATTTTAAATATGATTTTTAAATGTGCTCTATTTCTGTGTGAATCATTAATGTTGGTTTCTTATTTAAAATGTTAGATTATCTTTTTTTGTGTGTGTGTGTGTGTTTTCGAGACAGGGTTTCTCTGTGGTTTTGGAGCCTGTCCTGGAACTAGCTCTTGTAGACCAGGCTGGTCTCAAACTCACAGAGATCCGCCTGCCTCTGCCTCCCGAGTGCTGGGATTAAAGGCGTGCGCTACCACCGCCTGGCTAGATTATCTTCTTGAAGTACAACTATTATGTAGAATCATCTAATGCTTACTGAAATATACTATATGGCTTCATATGTGCTAGGTGCGCAAGTCCACTATAATAGAACTTCAACTACATCACCATAGGATTCAAGGTAGATCAATATGCTACACTGCAGCTCAAATCACATGGAAATCAGAAATACAATAGTGTAACTCCATTTATAAAGGGAAAAGATGACTTAATTCAACTGGTTAATTTCAAAGTCAGCTTACGTAAGACTAAGATAGCATCATACTAAGTGCTTAATATTAAAAGGCTTAACTATTACATATTTAGGAGATTAAAATACCAACATGAAACCTTTGAATAAAAATGTCTTCACTTTTACTACAACTCCATTAGCTGTAAAACAGAAGCCTTATGGAAACTTTCTCTAGATTTAAGCCACTTATGGATAATACACAAATATGTTTGCACACATCATCAGTGATGTAATTATTCTATCAAAACTTTGGGACCAACCATATGAGGGATTCATATATTAGAACATATGGATTTTGCTCTGGCACCTAACTGCTCTCACTACATTTAGTATCTAAACATACTCAAATGAAAGGAGTCCTTTGGCTATGCACAAGCTACTAGAATACTTTTGTTTTTCTTTTAAGATCAAAAAAGCTATTCTTCAGGATATGATGTTAAAAATACTATCATTGTTTAGCATTATGACATTTATAACATATGAAAAGCATCTTCATTAATATTAATGATCCCTTAAAATATTTTTGTGTAAAATACTATGAGGTTAACTTTGTTTGAAAGGAATTTGGTGAGTTAATGGTTCAGAAAAGTTAAGACCTTGTGGACATCAATTATACAGTTAAACATTTGAACACTACTGCAAAATGACACAGTATGAATATTATGGACCTATGTATGTTTGTTTAAAATTCCAACCCCCAAAAGAGAGGCTTATATAGAATATTTAAGTAATGTGGCAGGAAAAAAAATACCCTTGATATAAGATTAGGCAAAAACCAAACCAAACCAACCCAACCCACAACACATTTAATTTTCTCTTCATCCAGTTAGCTGAGGAATAGTATGAATCTTACAAGCCAGTGGATGTTCGCTTTTTCATGCTCCGTCTCTGAGCTAAACTTGAAGCAGCAACAGGCTCTAGAATTGGTTGGAAAGACTTGGGAGTCAAGGCAGAATATGTTGCAACCATTGCTTCCTAAAATAATGACAAAACATTACAAGTTCAGTAACAATCTCTGTAGGAAAAAAGTATTTAATAATACACCACAAGACCTCTACTTATGAAATTTTCCCTTTTACAATGCTGCTATAGTAAGGGGCCAAGTTAAAGAACCAGAAACAGCTAAGTTGCACATACATACATACATACATATGGTTTGAAATAATTATATAGTAGAAATTTTATTTAGCCATAAAAAAGAACAAAATATCATTTGCAAATAAAATGGGTAGAGTTGAAAACAGTCAAGTTAAACAAAATAATGTAGAATCTAAGAGTAAATGCTACACACTTTTCCCAATATGTGGTATCTAGGCCTTGAAAAGACAAAGGGACTATTGGTACTAACACTGTAACTGGGGGAGAACAAGGCAAGGTGGATGGGAGAAAGGGATTCTCAGAGGGCATTAAAGAGTAAGTAGGATCAAAATACAACATATGCATGTAAGAAAAAATCATCACGAACTCCATTTATTTTGGGAAATTTATATAAGCTAAAAGATAATTTTATTAGAAAAGACGTAGTAAAAAGCATTAAGAGTTCACTATTTGTAATAGCCAGAACCTGGAAACAACTTAGGTGCCCCTCAATAGAAGAGTGGATAAAGAAGGAGTGGCACATATACACATTAGAATTCTACTCAGCGGTAAAAAACAATGACATCTTGAATTTTGCATGCAAATGGATGGAAATAGAAAACACTATCCTGAGTGAGGTAACCCAGACCCAAAGAGATGAATATGGTATGTACTCACTCATAAGTGGATACTAGCCATAAATAAAGGACATTGAGCCTGTAATTCGTGATCCTAGAGAAGCTAAATAAGAAGGTGAACCCAAAGAATAACATATAGTTATCCTCCTGGATATTGGAAGTGGACAAGATTTCCGGACAGGGGTTGGGAGCACAGGGGTAAGGGTGGGATGGGGATAAGGGGAGATGGGGAGAGTGAAGGGAGAAGGGGAGGATGGGGAGAGCTTGAGGGAATGGGATGGTTGGGATGGAGGAAAAGTGGATATGGGAGCAGGGAAGAAGATATCTTAATTAAGGGAGCCATTTTAGGGTTGGCAAGAGACTTGACTCTAGAGGGGTTCCCAGGTGTCCAAGGAGATGTCCCCAGCTTGTCCCTTGGGCAGCAGAGGAGAGGGTGTCTGAACTGGCCTTATTCTATAGCCACACTGATGAATATCTTGCATATCACCATAGAACCTTCATCTGGTGATAGATGGAGATAGAGACAGAGACCTACATTGGAGCACTGGACTGAGCTCCCAAGGTCCATATGAAGAGCAAAAGGAGGGAGAACATGAGCAAGGAAGTCAGGACAGTGAGGGGTGCGTCCACCCACTGAGATGGCAGTACTGATCTAATGGGAGATCACCAAGTCCAGTTGGACTGGAACTGATGGAGCATGTGATCAAACCGGACTCTCTGAATGTGGCTGACGGTGGAGGCTGATGGAGAAGCCAAGGACAATGGCACTGGGTTTTGATTCTACTTGACGGGCTTTGTGGGAGCCTAGTCTGTTTGGATGCTCACCTTCCTGGACCTGGGGGAAATAGAGAGGACCTTGGACTTCCTATAGGGTAGGGAACCCTGACTGCTCCTTGGACTGGAGAAGCAGGGGGAGGGGCGTTGGGGGGAGGGGAGGGAAATAGGAGGAGGAAAGGAGGTGGAAATTTTCAATAAAAAATAAAAAAATGTGAAAAGAGTGAGTTTTAATTTTAAAATAAATAACACTCAGTTAAAAAAATCTATCTTCAAGAAATAAAGATATTTTATACATCAATGGGTAACATGAGATACACATTAGTTGTGTGTTCATTTTACCGTAACAACATGTGATGCATCATTTGTCTTTGGCTGATCCCTCGGCAAATGTTCTCTCTGGGTTATCCAAGAGTGTTTTAATACTTGTTCAGCAGTATAACGCTGACGTGGGTCCATATGAAGCATATGAGAAAGCAAATCCTAAATGGATACAGAAATTTACATGAAAATACGTAATTCACATTCCTTCAAAATATGAAAGTATCAGTAATTAAAATGCTTTATCAATACTTATGAAAAAACAGTATATGTACTCTGAATGGTTAGCTTTCAGTGTGTGTGTGTGTGTGTGTGTGTGCGCGCGCGCGTGTGTGTATATATATATTTTAAAGTCACAAATTTGAAAGGGAAAGATGGAGAGAAGGGAGGGGCAAGAACGATATAGATGCAGTGCTCATATATGAAATTCTCAAAAAAATCTAAAGACAAAAAATAATCATGAATCAGATTTTTCATTATGTGGTAAAGTTTTTATTTTGTAAATCCATGTATACCAATAAAAGACCCCCAACCCTAGTCTCCAACTTAAGATGTTTTTATGATCAACTAGGCCAGGGCAAAACAGGATATCTGTGGGTGGCAGAAGCAGTCTAGAGACAAGTTGCACCTGCCAAAAAGGAAAAACACCCAGTCCTTTGTGTAATCTATCAAAACCTGAGGGGGCAGAAACTGGCTGAAACTGGCTTGATCTAGACATGTTTTTGTCCTGATGTTGACCCAACCCATATGTTAATTTGAATTGACCAATGGTGTTGCTGTTGCTATGCTTCCCCAGTATGTAACCTTGAGACCTGATAAATACTTGCTGAAAAAATACACAGGGGGGATCAGTCTCATGAGAGTACTGAGTCACCTGTAGGCGCCTTTGACAATAAAAAATCCTCTTGCTGTTTGCATCCACTGGCGTGGCTTATTGAGTCTGGGGGATCCTTCCCTGAGCCCTAGAAATTAGAGTCTTTCATCTTGGCGGTTCCATCAAGATTCCCCTACTTGATAACCCACAGTGCCAATTGGGAGGTAACTGTCCATCCGTTGTGTGATTCGTTAGGTGTTTCTGTAAGTCATTTGTATGTACAAATGCACTGTAGGCTAAGCAAAGGAGGGAGCTGACGGGTTCTGTACTCCTCTTTAGCCACCCTGGGAGACGTTCCGCGTTCTGGGCATTCCTGGGGCCCGATTTTTGGGGGTCCAATTTGTTTCTGAGAATGAACAGGCCACTCTACTAGAGAGTAGGGGAGTTGTAGTCTCGCCTTCTCCATCTGAACATTTGCTTTCAGTTTTATGCCAAATCTGTGCCACGTGGCTTCTGGGCTGCTGTCTGTCTGTTTTGTCTGTATAGTTTTTGTCTTGATCTATTAGGAAGAAAAGCCCAATATGGGACAAAAATCTAACCACCTCCTTAAGTTTGACTGTAGGGCACTGGAAAGACGTCCAGCTCTGGGCCAAAGGCCAGGGGGTGGATGTCAAGAAGAAATGGCGGCTCCTTTGTACCTCCGAATGGCCGACTCTTAATTCCATCTGGCCAAAGGATGGTACCTTTAACTTGGATGTTATCTTGTAGATTAAGGAGCGTGTCTTCAGCTCAGGACCCCAAGGATGCCCGGATCAGATTCCCTATATCATCACCTGGGAATCTTTGGCTCGGGACCCACCTGCTTGGGTCTTCCCCTTCGTCTCCCCGCAGCCCTCCGCTCCTCAATCTCCTTCCTCCTTCACCCCTTTGCAACCTACCCCCAGTCTCTATGCCTCCCTCAAACCCCAACCTACCCGCCTTTATCCTATTCTGGAGAAACATAAGCCCAAGCCCACAATCCCCAAGCCGGTCCTCCCTCCCTTGGGGGGACCACTCATAGACCTCCTAAGAGAGGACCCCCCACCATATCAGCCTCCACCAGCCCCGGTGGGGGATGAAGGACATTATGAATATGAAGTTGAGGAACCAGGAGATGAAACTGCCCCAGACAGCACCACTCCAGCTGGGGTGACAGGAGGGGAACTGCCGCCTCAGAGGACACCACGAGCCTCAGGAGCCTGTCTCCCAGGCGTTTCCCCTCCAGCAGGGGGGAAACGGCCAGGTTCAATACTGGCCATTCTTTGTTTCCGATTTGTACAATTGGAAGACCCATAACTCGTCCTTTTCGAAGGACCCTGTTGCCCTCACGGCCCTAATAGTCTATTCTCATAACCCATCAACCCACTTGGGATGGCTGCCAACAACTCTTGCAGGCTCTACTGACCTCAGAGGAAAAACAGCGCGTTTTCCTCGAGGCAAGCAAGAAAGTTCCAGGGGCTGACGGGGCCCCAACCCAACTCCCCAATGAGATTGATACCGCCTTTCCCCTGAATTGTCCTGACTAGGACTTCAACACAGCTGCAGGAAGGGAGCGTCTTCGCCTCTACTGCTAGCTTCTCATTGCGGGCCTCTGTGGCGCAGGGCGCCGACCTACCAATTTGGCCCAGGTAACACAGGGTTCAGAAGAGACTCCAGCTGCCTTCCTAGAGCGGCTAATGGAAGTCTACCGTATGTACACCCCTTATGATCCAATGAGTCCGGATCAACAGGGCAATGTTTCCATGGCTTTCATCTGGCAATCTGCTCCAGATATTAGAAATAAGTTACAGAGACTGGAGGGCTTGCAGGATTATACTCTCCAGGATCTTATGAAAGAGGCAGAAAATATATTTAACAGAAAAGAGACACCAGAAGAAAAAGAAGAAAGATTACGTAGGTTGCAGGAAGAGAGAGATGACAGGCTTAGAAAGCAAATGGAAGAATGCGAGGACAGGAGAGACAAGAAACGAACTAGGGAAGTAAGCAAGATCTTGGCCACTGTAGCTAACCAGACTAAGCCAGAAGCAGGGAGTCCAGATAGGATGGGAGACAGAAGGAGGCCAGGAGTAGACCGCAACCAATGTGCCTACTGCAAAGAGAAAGGACATTGGATTAAAGACTGTCCCAAGAGACCCAGAAATCCCAGGAAATAGCCGGCCCAATTGCTGGCCCTAGATAAAGACTAGGCCAGTCAGGTCCAGCAGCTCCCCCCTGACCCTGGATAACCCTGAAAGTAGGGGGGCAACCAGTAACCTTCCTAGTAGACACCGGAGCCCAACATTCAGTCTTAACTAGAGCAGAACATTGGCCGCTTTAATATCTCTGTGGATTTTCTTCTCTGAATGTAGATAATCAAGTCCTTTCAAAATTTCTCATAATATGGTAGCAATCTTAATTTCATCTAAACGGCCAGGTTCTAATAGATCCAGGGCAGAGCGTCCACCAAGATATTCCATTATTATCCATGGTTTGGTGTCCTTCACACAGGATCCATAATGTTTGGTTACATATTGGCTGTCACACTGACTCAGCACTGTGATCTCTTGTTGCATAAAAGACGCTGGAAAACGGACCTTGGGACAGCCCCTCACCATTTTAGCCTCTCATGTGATTGAGTCACTCATTTGCCAGCCACCAAACTGCTGGCTCTCCAATGCCCAAATGACTCATTATCAGTTACTCCTGCTGGATGCAGACAAGGTCCACTTCGGCCCAGCAGTAATCCTGAATCCTGCCACGTTGCTCCACTCCGGAGGGGCAAACCCCTCATGACTGCCAACAAATCCTTGCAGAAATGCATGGAACCCGGCTGGACCTAACAGACCAACCCCTGAAAGGGGCCGACTTAACCTGGTACACGGATGGAAGAAGTTACCTGCTCAACAGAGAAAGAAAGGCCAGAGCAGCAATAATGGACAGAAAGCAGGTAATCTGGGCCAGCACCCTGCCACCTGGAACTTCAGCTCAGCGGGTAGAGCTCGTCGCGCTTACCCAAGCTTACAGCTGGCAGAAGATAAGGTACTCAATGTCTATACCAATAGCCGCTATGCTTTGCCACCGCTCATATTCATGGGGAAATATATGGGAGAAGGGGTCTTCTAACCTCAGAAGGAAAGGACATTAAAAACAAGGCTGAAATCTTGGCCCTGCTTAAAGCCTTATTTCTCCCTAAGAGACTAAGCATTATACATTGCCCTGGACATCAGAAAGGGGAGACTGAAATAGCTAAAGGAAACCGCCTGGCAGATGAAATGGCCAAGCAGGCGGCCCTAGACCCTCAGCACTTGTCGGTAACAGTATTGACTGAACAGGAAGGCCCGGAAAAATACCTGGACTCATTGACTATGCCGATAAAGATCTGGATATAGTCCAGAAATTGGGGGCAGACTATGATCATAAGAGACAACGATGGATATTCCAAGGAAAGACAGTAATGCCTGTACATGTAGCCAGAGAGCTAATTTCCTCCTTGCATAAACTGACCCACCTGAGCACCAAAAAGATGAACACCCTGCTCAGCAGACAGGAAATGGGTAGCTATATATCCAAGAAAGAAACCCTGATACAGCAAATCGTCAGCAATTGTAAAGTCTGTGCCCAAGTAAATGCTGGCAAAACAAACAGGCCGCCTGGACTCAGACTCAGGGGGCATAGGCCTGGGATCCATTGGGAAATAGATTTTACTGAAGTTAAACCTGGCATGTATGGTTATCGGTATCTGTTAGTTTTTATAGACACCTTTTCTGGATGGGTCGAAGCTTTTCCTACCAAAAAGGAAACTGCACAGACCGTTGTCAAGAAGCTCTTGGAAGAAATCTTCCCACGGTATGGACTACCCTAGGTACTTGGGACTGATAATAGTCCTGCCTTTGTCTCCCAGGTAAGTCAATTAGTGGCCAAGTTACTGGGGATTGATTGGAAATTGCATTGTGCCTATAGGCCCCAGAGCTCAGGACAGGTAGAAAGAATGAATAGAACAATTAAGGAGGTTTTAAATTGATGCTTGAGACTGGCGCTAAGGACTGGGTACAGCTCCTACCCCTGGCATTGTATCGAGCCAGGAACACCCTGGGATCACATGGATTAACTCCTTTTGAAATCCTGTACGGAGGCCCTCCTCCAAACATTGCCTTCTTTGACTCTGATATTGCTGATCATACCAGCAGGCTGACTGCCCTGCAGGCTCACTTGCAAGCTCTCCAGTTGGTACAACAGGAAATTTGGAAGCCCCTGGCAGCTGTCTACCGGGACTCAGACCAGTCGCCTGTTGTCCCACACCCCTACAAGATAGCATTTGAGTCCGGAGACA